ATTCTTATTGTATATGATTCTTAATATACCCAAACAAATAGGACTTGAAGTATTTTATCTCCAACAGTTTCAAGTAACGATCACGGACGGGTCGGGTCCAACCGAACCCGGACTTGGATCCGAATAGTGTTCGATTCAAAAACTTTGACTCCGACCTGACCCACCGGGTCCAAATGTTGGACCCATATCCAGACCCGTTCAGGTATACTTGACAGATCCCAAGTCGGGTTCAGGTTCGGGTCAATTGCCACCTCTAAATGATCTCTCCCATTTTTTAAGTATCTAGCTTAGTCAAGTTGGACTCAGCCAAGTTACTAGCATTCAGCCTTTTGCCAAGCCGAAAACACAGTTTGTTGTCTTAGAGTTAGAAAGAGATAGTAGGCATCCATTTACATCAATATTTTGAAACCCAAATTTGTGGGTAGGATCCTTCACCCACAAATATGTGTCAAATCGAATGATTGGTGATTTAGATTCAGTCTGAACCGGTCCAAACCAGTTATTTAGAAAATATTAAAAATAAAATAAATATAATTAAAGCAGGGTGGGAATTTAGAGGGGATCTAAAAAAAACATCATATAAGCATATGAAAAAAAGAATATATATATATATATATATATATATGCCTACCACAAAACTTTCACTAGAAGGGGTTGTTTTGATGCCCTAATAACATCAAAATGATCATCTCGACATCAAGATGCATGGACATGAGAAAAAATGGTTTTCAAGTTTTGGAAATAGTGTATTTTGTAACACATTTTTGGACCGTCAATTTTCAGGATTTTCATAGATGTATCGATCTCCACTATTTTTGAAGCTTTAAACTTTATAAATAAAAATGAAAAGATATTTTAAGGCTATCACAAAGATTTTTAATACTGAAACCACATTTCTCCACGCTATTTGAAAGTAGGCTCTAATTTGATTGTTTAGAGCCTAGGTTCTATACAAACCGCACCCATATATATTAAAAGGTGGAGAATTAATCTGATTTATAAAATTTTAGATAAATCTAATTTGTAAAATAATTATTAAAATTTAAAGACTACCAGACAACCGTGACCGTGTGATGAACGTTGAACAATGATGAGGTGTAGGTGAAGTATTGTAGAACTTCACTTATCGGCATTTTGCCCGATAAATGTTTGTATTTTTTATGACTTAGGAAAGTGAATAACATTAGTAAATAAAATTGCAAGTCAAGTATTAGAAAACCTTTACATTGATCATCTCAACTTGAACATTATGGTTGTGAGAAAAAAAAAAAAATGATTTCAAACTCTAAAAATAGTGTATATTACAACAAATTATCTAGACTGTTCATTTTGCTTTAAAAATAAGTGTTCACAATTCCACAAGTTCTGTACCAGTTTTTAGATTCAAATTTTATTGTCAGTGTTGGAAATTAATTTTAGAGTCCTCATAAAAATCTCATTTTTTTGTTTTCATGAAACCTAGGCCTTTTGGAAACCTCATGAACAAGAAAAACCATCCTATTTTGTAAAGTGTGATGTGTTTTAAGTCTTTTGTACTGAATGTTGCTAGATACTCAATGTCTTTTTTCCAAATTTAAATCTAATAATATGTAGGCTTTTTCAAAATATTATTAGGTTTTTTTATCTATCAAATAGGATTTGAAGACACAACAAATTATGGAAAATTATATAAAGCGATTATTTATTTTTAATATATGGAAGTCACAATTATTCTCCTCCATCTGACTTCAAATCGGTGGTTATGAGCATGTCATTGACTTCAAAGGGAGATCGATGGGGAATCCATGCCCGGTAGATAAATAATATCAGTGTATACAATCCCACATTGCATACCCTTACACTTTCTTTTAGTTTTCAACAAATAAAAAAATTACCAACAACGTATTTATTCTTTGGTCACGATAAAATTCTTTTTACTTTCACGCATCTAATTTACAATCAAAATTTTAGAGTCGACTAGTCTCCATTTTCTACTCATATACTTATTTTTTGAGAGAGCATTTTCTACTCGTATTGTGGTGCGACAAATCTAGCATCAACTTTAGCCTAACTTTTAGGAATTATCGAGGGAAACTACATTATTAAGAAAAAGAAGATTATTTAAAAGAAAATTGTTTGGTGCGACCAAGCTCGCACCTGTTATTATGCGGGCTTGTAGATCTACAGCATCCATCAAAACTGGGTCTTGTAAAAAAATATCATTTCTAGTTTATTGGCAACCGAGGCTCTCTTGATTACCGCTTATTGGCAAATTGGGATAACATAAATCCGTAGTGAGCACCCCACAAAAATGAATCCAACAACCCAAATAAAATCTTCCAAAAACAATAATACGTGTCCAACGAATTTGGGAAAATTATAGAATAAGAGAAATCACTATAAACACAACACAACCAAATACTTGAACACACACGGATTAACGTGGTTCACCCAAAGTGGGTTACTTCTACAGGCAAGTGGGCCATTCATTATCTCAAAGAAGAATTTACAGGTTTAGGGTTTTGTAGAGATTATCTCATAAATAGAAAGAAAGCTAAAAAAAAATTTCCTACTGTAACCCCACCATCAATCGAATCATTTCTTTGTCTCCATCGACTAACATCGTTACCACAAAGAAACCCCGATCAAATCCGGCCCAATACATGAGCCACAATGGTGCTAGGATTTACACAAGAAACCCCCAATCTCTACCTCCTAATGCTTCTCTATACATTTCTTTTCTTTGATATTATTTCCTTATGTTTTTTCTCTCTAAATATGTTTAGACATCCATAACATTTTTTATGATAAAAATCTCTTTGAACAAAAGAAAAATACTATTGGGATGATATTTGCATCACATTGCCCAACATAGTTTTTAAAATTTATTTCTTTTTACAGATTAATAATCTCTATGTTAATATTATATATTTCCTAAATATTAAGATCAAATTCTATTTCAAAAATAAATCATTAAAGGGCTGGCATTTCTACATGTTAGTCCGTAGACTCGTAAAAACCATGTCCTTATTTAAAAAGAACAATTAAGCATTGCGAAACTTTTACTAAGAGAGAGAAAGAGTTACTATAAAAGAGAGAGAGAGAGAGAGATCTTTGACATAGAGCTACAATTGAAATGGACTTTTAACAATTAGAAATGGGGAGATGGCGTAGAACTTCCCTTTAAGGAGAAGGTTCAATTCATCTATGATCCCACTCCCCAAGAATACATGATCTAAATGGGTTGTAAGCAAAGTGGATTGTCATCTCCATTCATGCAAAATAAGTATTTATTTTGATATAAAGATGTAACAATTATTCTTATTTATTACTCAAAGTTAAAAAAAAAAAAATTTGTAATACATCCAAAACCATTTAATGGTTATGAGTAATTGTGGTTGCCTCGTGACAAAGATAAATAAACTCGTAACATACGATATCGTTTATTTATAGTATATGTAAAATAAAAAGAAAACTCTTAAAAATAGTTATAAGCGAATTTAAATAGTGTTTAGCCCTACTACAGACACACTATGTTCGTGGCAGTTTTGCGTTAAAAACATCCATGGATCTACGAGAACCGTGGCGGTTGCAAGTGTTTTTTTGTATGAAAAATCTCGCAACGGACCTACTATGTCTACAACAGACATAGTAGGTCCTTTACTATCTTTTAATCCATGCCGTCGAAAAATTGAAGTCCAAAAAATTAAAAAAAATTCATGAAAGAGGGAAAAAAACACCCTTCTAAAATGTCGATTCATGGACCGTTGATTAAGTGAAGTCCGTCCGCTCCACGTGGGACCTACTAAATGAAGGCGTTGATCGACAAAAAGTATATTCCAACATTTACCAATCTACCCCTGCCACCTTAATGAAAGTACTAAATAAACATTTTAATTGCAAGAATAACAAAGGCATGAACAGTAATTTTACTCATTGGGTTTATTGCATCTTTCACTCACATTTTTTTCCTCCGCAACATTTTATGAAAGTATTTGACCCCCCAAATTTGGAGTATCCTACCTTCATATGGTTTGCAAAAATATGGTATTAACCATCAAAATATGAAATTCATTATTAACAATCAAAATATGAAATTCATTTAACTTTTATTTAATCAAAATATTAATAACCGACATTCATTTAATTTCTCAGCTTGAGCAAAGTACAACGCACATGCCATTAGCTAGTTGAACAACCTCATCTCTTTTCTTATGATCAGCTGTTGAGTTTGAGGCATTTTTTTTGGGTTGATTAACTGATAGTTCATAGAATTTGAATTGCAATTTTTTTTTTTTGCAGAAATACAAACCAAAAAACTCAACGAACCAAGAAATCACAAGTTAACTTTCAAGGAAAAAAAAAAAAGTACTAATCCATTAAGGCATAGAATGTACAAATAAATCCGGCCGTTTGAGGAATCACACATGGACTTAAATGGTTAGCAAATGACATTAAGCAGTGTTAAATTTCAAGTTTCATTCTTACCACCGAACTATAAACAACAACAAAAAAAAAACTTTTAAAAAAAAAATTCAGCAAGAAAAACAAAAGAAATTAAAATTTAGTCCATCCTAAGCTCGGGAATGGGAACGAAAAAAAAAGCATTTACGCAGTCCAAAATTTATGGAAATTGACAAAAACAAAAATAACAATGGAAATACTAGTGACCTGTTATTTTGTAATTTCTAAAAAATTTTACTTAGGGGTTTAAGAGTGTGGCATTTGAGATATTGTGGGGAAGAAGAGGGGCCTTCTAAGTTGTTTCCATTTTGAATAGGCAGCGTTGATGTCAGACCAACGTGTCGCTGGGTCAACCAAGGGCAGTAGGCACACGAGTTCGTATGTGCCCATTACACGTGCGACGCGCTGCAACTATCCCGCCCCTGCCCCCCTCTCTCTCTGTCTAAACTTCCCGTGAGCTGGATTCGAGATTCCATGGGTGGCTTCGAGCTGTCCATGCATGACAACCTGTTTCTCTCTCTAAAACCTCCTATAAATTCCCCCCTTCCACTCCACTCCCTCCCCACAAACCTCATTCCTCTCTCCTCTTTCTCTCTCTAAGTTCACTCTCAAACCTCGCACTAACTCCCCTTTCTCTACTCCCTCTCAACCCAATTCCTCTCTCTATCACAACTAAAACTACAACCTCTATAGACTCTTTCTCTCTCTACTTCTTTTCACTCTCTCATTTAACTCCAACACAATTTTCATGTTTTAACTCCCAACACAAAGGCCCCCCCCCCTCTCTCTCTCTGTTGAGAATTCGGAGCAGGTTTGAGCATGGCGGCAATTGTAACAACATTGTTTCTCTTCATTTCATTCTTTTCCTTCATTTGGGTTCTTGCCGGACATCTGCGTCGCGGGCGGCGCAGATTGCCCCTGCCGCCGGGGTCGTTAGGCTGGCCGTACATCGGCGAGACCTTCCAACTGTATTCCCAAAATCCAAACACTTTCTTTGCTCAAAAGCAACAGAGGTTAGTCTTAGTCTCTCTACACAGCAAAGAAGAACTTGAACATAACATTTTGTTCTAAACAAATGAAAATGTGTTGATTTTCTATACCCACAATATTCATTGCCAAAACACTCTGTTTCTCTCTCTTCAAGAAGTTGAACACTGCATTTATCTCTCTAAAATTGATGCATACATTGATGAATGGCAGGTATGGTTCAGTGTTCAAGACCCACATACTTGGGTGTCCATGTATTATGATATCAAGCCCAGAAGGTGCAAGATTTGTGCTAGTAACTCAGGCTCATCTGTTTAAGCCTACATTTCCAGCTAGCAAAGAGAAGATGATGGGGCCTCAAGCTCTGTTTTTTCACCAAGGGGATTACCACATGAAGCTTAGGAAGCTTGTTTTGAGGGCCTTCTTACCTGAGAGCCTCAAGCCCAAAGTTGCAGACATCGAGACTGTCGCCATTGATTCCTTGGCTTCCTGGGATGGAAACACCATCAACACCTTTCAAGAGATGAAGACAGTAAGCCCCTACTCTCTCTCTCTCTCTGTCTTCAAAAGATAGGCATAAACTAAGAAATTCTCTCCCTTAATTCTCTCTCTATGGAAGCATTGATTAAAAGATTTCTAAGTATTTTTATTTTCAAAAATTAGGATATTTGTGATTTTCCTCTCTCTTTGATTACTTGTTCTGTAGTCATGTGTGTTTTGAATTTTTGAATTGGTTTTGTTTTTGTTCCTCCTGCATAAAAGATGGAAGATTCCATGTTTCATTCTACAGTCAAGTTTTGACATTGAGAAAGTAATATCCTTATCTTATCATTTGGAAAATCCCAAGCTGATTCTCAAATCCATTTTTCTTTCGTGATTATGTTGAGTTGGTCTTTTTAAATTTGTTGCCTGTATTTTTTGAATTTTTATAGGCAAATTCAGCTGTGGAAATTCAGCCAGGAAAAACCATTTTATTTACCTGATAAAAAGATAGCCTGGGTTTGAAAGAATCCAAGGGATCTTGACCTTTCAAATGAGCATACAATTTGTGGGGTACCATGTTTTCACCCCCTCTCCCTCTCTCTCTCTCTCTCTCTCTCTCTCACTTAGTGGGTACCGTACTGTTTCTACCCCTCCTCCCTCTCTCTCTCTCTCTCTCTCACAATTTGTGGGGTACCATGATTTCAGCCCCTCTCTCTCTCTCTCTCTCTCTTCTCTGTCTCTGAAGTTATGCACTATTTGAGAAGTTCCTAGAGATTTTGATATTTGCGTCAGAATATCAGAATTGGGTGTATCTAGTATTTACAACTGCTCTCTCTCTCTCTCTCATCATAGGTTTCAACTCTTAGTAAACTCCAAGGGGCATCACTCACACAATATAAACTTAAGGTGAATTGGTTTTTATCAGATAGTTGCACTACCAAGAATTGGACTCTCTCTCTCTCTCTTGGACAGATTGGTGTCTTCCTCTCTGTTTTGATCAGTTTCTGTTACTCACTTGCAGTATGCATTCAATGTGGCACTACTTTCCATATTTGGAAAGGATGAGCTCCCCTTCATTGAGGAGCTTAAAGAGGCCTACTATACACTGGAGAAAGGCTACAACTCCATGCCCATCAACCTCCCTGGAACTCTATTTAATAAGGCAATGAAGGCAAGGAAAAGGCTGAGCCAGATTTCAGCAGAGATCATATCATCCAGAAGGGTGACAAAAATGGAAAGTAATGACCTTCTTGGCTCTTTCATGGGAGCCAAAGAAGCCCTAACTGACGAACAAATTGCAGACAATGTTATTGGTGTCATATTTGCAGCAAGAGATACCACTGCCAGTGTCTTAACATGGATCATCAAATACCTTGGAGAAAACCCAAGATTCCTTCAAGCTGTCACAGTAAATTTTCTCACTCTAAAACCCTGTTTTTCACCATCTTTTTCCTTCTCTTCAATTTAATGTCTATTTATAGTAAGTTTTTACACAGGCTTGAAAGACGGTTGGGGTGGGGTTATATTTGGGTCCTTCTGCCCCTTTTGTGTGTTCTTTCTCCAAAATGGGCCTGCCTCTAAAGACAGATTGGGTTACTGCTTTCTTTTAATGACAATTCTTCTCTCTCCTGCTTAAAAGTCTATTTGTATCACTTGTATTTCCTTTGTTTCCTTTAATGGAAAGTCTTTACAGTGAGCTCAAGAGTGACATTCCATGGAAATCTTTATAGCAGTGGGCCCAAATTAAAAAACAGCTGGGCTATTGTGGCATTTTCTTCAAAATGGGCTCAAGGTCACCTGGTTGTTTGTTTTCTATTTGTGGCATTTTCATGCGGTACCCCAAAAAAGTGAACTTGAGCCACAAGTTTCATTTTGTGTGAAATCTTTCCAGCAGTTTTTCATCTCTCTCCTTCATGGTGATCTATTTTCTGGTGAGATTAACATTGAGCTTGTTTTATGGATTTTCAGGAAGAGCAAGAAGCCATTGTGAAGTCCAATGGAGAAAAAAAGCCTCTAAGTTGGGCTGATACAAAGAACATGCCCTTAACTTCTAGGGTTATCCAAGAGACTTTAAGGGTGGCTACAATTCTTTCTTTTACATTCAGAGAAGCAGTTGAAGATGTAGAATTTGAAGGTCAGTACATATTTGATGTTCATTATTCATGTACTTGCTTAAGTGATATAATTTCTTTGAGAACTATTTTGAACATTAAATATGGGTGTGTGATTATATTTGTGGATCATGGAAAAATAGGGTTTTCTGAGTCATCAAAATATGTGGGTATTTTACTGTAAAAGTTGATGATCTTTGTCGGGTAATTCAAAATAATATGAGAAGTAAATTTTCTTTAAGAAGAAACATGGTGTTTTCAAAGTAGAGTTTGGTCACATTTTTTGAAGAAATTGGTGTTAAATTGTGTAGAAATTTTAATATTTTTATGTTAATATTTCCTTATAATTAGTTTTCCTTTATGCTGATTTTCTAATTCCTTTTCTGGTTGTGTTTATTTCAGGTTATTTGATTCCCAAAGGATGGAAGGTGTTGCCTTTATTTAGGAATATTCATCATAGCCCTGATATTTTCCCTGATCCAGAGAAATTTGACCCCTCCAGATTTGAGGCAATAATACTCACTAATCTTAGAAAACCCCCCTTTTTTGTCTGTCAATTGCTTTCTTTCCTTTTCCTCTTTCTTTATTTGGCTAAAAAATGGGTTTTTTCTTGCAACAGGTTGCTCCAAAGCCCAACACCTTCATGCCTTTTGGCAATGGAATTCACTCCTGTCCAGGAAATGAATTGGCAAAATTGGAAATCTTAATTCTTCTCCATCACCTAACCACAAAATATAGGTAACTCTCTCTCTCTACAGGGTTATTTAAATTTGGGGGCATCTTTTTTGATTACCCCAAATTAATATGAGTTTTTTAACTAATAGTTTTGTTTTTGTTTCTCTCTTATTTTGGTTTCAGGTGGACTGTAATGGGTTCAAATAATGGAATTCAGTATAGCCCATTTCCACTTCCCCAGAATGGATTGCCTATCAAATTCTCTGTCAAGACTTAGGCGTATTTGCGTGTGGGCGACTGTATCTTCTTTTCAATTTTGGATGAGATCCATTACTGGGGTGGTGGGGAGAGAGAGAATAGTAATTGGATCCCTTCTCCTTTTCCGACAAAAAGGGTCAGTAAAGGAGAGAACGAGTTCGAAGAACAGGGAAGCAAGAGAATTTTGAAATTAAACATGTTAGAGAGAGAGAATTCATGATGGTTAGTAGTTCATAGGCCAATATGAAAAGATTCACACATTTTTTTTTTCATGGAGGGAGAGATACGTCCAATATAAATGTCTGCTCTGGTTCTGCCTTCAGCGATTCAGAAGAGAAGGTGGTAAAGAAAGGGGAAAACCCCTTCAGATTTTTTGTTGGATGCCTATAATGTAATTTTACTCCTTTTAATCTGTAATGGGAAAGGCCCCAAGTTCTAATTTCTTGAGAGGAAAGTTAATGCAAAGGAGAACAATTCAGGATGTTGCATGACATTTCGTTGTGTTTCAACAAGAAGAAGAACATGGTTCTGTGTAAGGGTTTTTTTTTTTTGATTTGTGAGATTACCACGCGATTAAAGATCTTCTGGCGAGAGACCGGTAATGAGCAGAAGATCCTCATGAAGAATAAACTGAGATTGATAACATCTTCGAAGAAAACGATTTTGTTCCATTGAACCTTCCTGACTTTCATTGTTTTAGTGGGTTGTTCTCTTCTTTTACTGGATGTAGACCACAAGGATAAATCACATTAAATCTTAGTGTCTGGTGTTTAGTTGTTTTCATTGTTTCTTGGTTCCTGCATAATCACCGACACACATAAGTGTTTGATATTTGCTCTCAAAGAAGACATAAAGCGCGTTCATGTTCATTGCTTGTTTCTGCATTCGTGCAGCAGAGCCACAAGCAAAACAAAGTGGTTTCAATGCCAGGTGGTTTCTGTGTCTCCACTACACCGCTATTCATTTTGTAGATTGCCGATGAAAGTGAGACTAGTTGTCTTCGGATGAGCACCTCTACAAGATGTAAGAGGTGTACAAGATCGTGTTCTCTAATACACCTATGTGGAGAAAGACGTATGCCGAAATATTGGAACAATCTGCTTTTCGATTAGTGCAACAATGTTGAGAATTAAGATGAAGTGGAAGAAAAACAATTTTGCATTCAATGATAAAAAATACGGTATACAAAAACATTACAAACTTGATACGATGACCTCATTTTTCCGCACACATATTTCTTTAAATAAAAGTTCTTACATCCATATTTAATACAATAACTATCCACTTACAACAATGACTATCTATTCACAACAATAACTACTAACCACTTAGGGTGCGTTTGAAGGTTTAAAAAATTTAGAGGTACTTGTGTTTGGTGCACCTTAGAGCTTTTACACTGGAGACCTCTCAACCCAGTTTGAACTGTTTGTATTTTTTTAGTAATATCGGGCAGATATGTCATGTATGAAAAAAATAATTATTACATTTTTAATAACCCAAAGTTGATATTATTATTATTATTATTATTATTATCAACTTTGTTTCATATTTTGATATATCACCATAACAAAAGACTCAATATTGTTTTTTAATAATATGATGATATGAAGTAGAATATATTGTTTTTTAATAATATGATGATATGAAGTATAATAGGTATTTAAATTTTATAAGTAGATAGTCGTTGCCTTTCTCCCTAATATGTATATCGCACTCAACTAAAGAACTTAAACTGAATGGACGAATTGATAAAATATTGAGATCATAAGCCTTCCACAATAAATTGTTTTTCAAAGGCTGTTGAGATCAATGAAGGCCTATTCAACGAAATGCATCATACATTCTTAGAACAATTAAGGCCCATTCTTGACTAAGCATTGCTAATCATATATTCACATCCGCAGGCATGGATACACATAGAACCACACGTTGTAACAAACTCACATGTTCGAGCAAAATGCGCCCAATGAACCAAGCAAAACATATATGGAACACCGAAGCACATTTATCCACGTTTTATATGACAATAACATATATTCACAACTACTACATCTATATCTCAACCAGTAAGAAAGCATCACATTCAACAATAACCTGTAATAACTTGAACACAATATAAAAAGGGATAAAAAATGAATCGTTGAGCTCAATCCACATCTTATAAGTGGGAAAAAGTGTCTAGGATCATTTAAAGTGCATTTTCTTTTATTTAGAGTGATTGTAATTAGTTCTCTTGAGGCTTTCATCCATGATAATGTGGCTGTAATTTTCTATTTGGTGTTTCTACTTGAGGTTTGTTTAGTGAAATTTTTTAATTTGTGTATCCTTGGGAGGATCCTCTAATTGGTTCTCTTGAGGGTTTCACCCAAGATAATGTGGCTGTAATTTTCTAGTTGGTGTTTGTACTTGAGGTCTGTTGAGTGAAAAAATTTAATTTGTATATCCTTGGGAGGATCCTCTTATACTCCGACGGACTATTCAAACCTGAGTCCCAGGTACATTGATTTTTCCGACATAGCCTAAAGCGTTCTACTTTTGGGCCTTTTCTTCCCCAATATTCTAGGGTTCCATATGGATTCTCCGAAGATACTTCATTTGCACTGATTCTGTCCACATGAAATGACTTTCCCAAGACAATTACCATCCTAGTTTATCTAATGGGAGATGTTGATATCCTTAGTGTGTTTAGGGAGACTTTGGTTAAAATAAAATGTCACCAGACTCGAGGTGTGATGACGTCCAGCCAAATAAATTTTCAGCACGACAAATGCCATAATATTGTAGGGAATACTAAAAATGGCTACAGTAGGTAACAATCTAGCCTTATAATAAATATTAAGATTAAAAATCCCTTTAAATGATGAAAGAAAGCTCCCTGCCAAAAATGAGAAAGATTTGAGCTCAATCATGCCCAAATCAGCAAGCAGATAATTCAGGAGGAGACACGTTCAGAAATCTGGTCCAACCGGCTCAAAATGATAATCTGACTCTTCAATATTTAATCCAAGGTACCCTAAGGCTATCCTCCAAATATCAGGCCAATCCAAAGCTAGATGACCAAGATATGGTCTGACGAAACTCAACCGTTCATTTCACCACATTGATTTAAGGCCAATTTACAAATATTCTTTAATATATTTAAAGATTAATGACCCAAGGACTTTAGGGGTGGGAGGTATCAATATAAAAATGCTACTTGCTAAATTTGAGCCCAATTCGACATCGAAATGGATGAAAAATGGCCCTCTCAAATATGTTGAAATGTACATAGGGTCCACGTAAATTAATCCAACTTTACAAAAGGAAACTACGAATAAATTATCAATGTGCTTCAAATTTTTATGATATTAAGGTGATGATGAGCAAAACCTTTGATAAATATTTAAGCCTAGTTTGATTTCCATAAGGGCCTTGTTGAGTACGCATGAGACCACATAGAAAAGATTTACCAAGTATATTGTACATGTCGTTCATCATCTTCATTGGAATCACAGGAAGCAACATATTTTTTGACAAAAAGGCCGGGAACATATCTCCCAATTCCGATGCCAAACGAGGTCAAATTTGAGTATGTTGCTCCTTACAACATGGTCTTTTCATTCATGTATGTGTAGATGGGTTCTTCACACGGATCAATGTCGAATCGAACCAAAAATATTTGAGGTTTGCAACAAATTATGTATATCAGTCCTATGACCTCTACTCACGCTCAGAGCAATATCTCGCAATCCGTTTAGCGATTCAAGCAAAATTTTTTTTATGGAACTTCCTAAATCAAAGACAAACACATCCATATATGGCAATCTGCGATCAAAATCTAATTGAGGGGGCGAATTCTAGTGAGAATTTGTCTAAATTTATAAGACTATAGTTGCCAAAAATAATAACAAATAAAAGAACCATACCTCTCCAACTCGGCATTATGTTGAGCCCCAATTCTCACCAAATATTGGTCTCGACATCTTCCGCAAGAATCCACTGGCTGATCTTCAAATAGTGACTAAATTTTAGTGCAATGACAAGATATAGAATTGGGTGCAATTTTTACTAAAAATAGAAATTTGGAAATTAAAACAGGTAAAATTGGCGAATTTGTTGGAAATATGGCCTATCAGTCCATTTTATCCTGGGAATTTATTTTTCAATAATAGTACAAAAGCCACATTGAATAGTATATGTGGTTGACATGAGGCAATGCTATATACTAGGGATCCATTTTGGAGCTTTTATAGGCTGTCGCACTGGAGGGAAAACCCTACTCAGTGTCACTGGACGGAAAATCCAGTGATGTGTTTGGACCATAGTTAGCAAGTCGGGGACTTTTATTAAATCGGGAAAAATTCATTTCTTATTTTAAAGTCAGATGAAAAAATAGGATAAAAAATACGGATCGGTAAAAATACTTCATGTAAAGATATCACCAATATATCAAACTAGGCTAAAAAAATCGGAGTTGAAAACTTGGATAAGTTAAAATGTTAGAAATTTTGAAATTCTGAAAAATAAAATTGTCAAAGCCATCAATAAGTAATCCATTCATAAAAACTAGACTAATATAATTAAGTCAATTAATTTAGATGACTCATCCTTGTACATCATTTGGTACATGAGGACAAGCTTTTATATCATTCCTTTATTCTCTTGACAAGTGATATTTGAATCTTGTTATCCGGTAGAAAATCCTTCACCACAAAAATTGTAATACAATTTATATCATCTTTCTTCACAATAATCCCAAAATGGATCTTTTTGATCTAACCATTGTATCTTTTTTCCTATTTTTTTAATACTATATATATATATATATACACACACGTTAGGCATTCATGCTCTTTATAAAAAATAAAATAATAAGTTCATGATAAATACACCATATGAATTTTTCCATTAATGGTTTAACAAACATCACACCTACTTAGTACATACCAAAAAAATACACATAAATTTTCACATTAAATGCTTTAAAAAATATCATACCTACTTAAATACATACCAAAAAATAGACTATACATCTTTTCACAATAAAATCAAGTAGATCTATAAACATATGAAAATCTTGAAAATAGACAGTGTAGATAATATGTTATAAAATGCACTATTTTAGGACTTAAAATCTTTTTATTTTTCATAGTCATACATCTCGATGTCTGAACTATCAATAAAAGGGTTTTTCAGCAATAAAACTACCTTTTCTTATGATTTTTGAGGTGCATATGTAACTCTACAATATAAGGTTGCATCCTTACAAAAACGTTTTCCAAATAGTAAACCTTAAAAGGGTAAGGGGAAGGGGAAGGGGAAAGGGAAGGGGAAGTGGTAAACCGAGAACGGAAGGTAAACCTGAGAACAACGAACTCTCTATCTCCCTTGTTTTTCAAGAAGGTAAACCCAGTTTTTCAAAGAAGGTTTTTCAATGTAAGGTTGCATCTCTCTCTCTCTCTCTCTCTCTCTCTCTCCCCTAATTTTCAAAGAAGGTAAACCCTACATCGAACGGCGAACTCTACGAACTGGAAGAAGAAAGCCGGAAGGTAAACCTTATGAAGCATTTCAGCAGCTAAATCGAAAGGGAAAATGAAGCATTTAGTCTGATATGGTATTTGTAAGGCAAATGATTTTCTTTATTCATTATTTTCTTTGCAAAATCATGCTGCACACAATTTTTGTAGGGCATTGAATCATGTTGCACACAATATTTTCTTTGCAAAATAACCATTGAAATATGCATCATGTTAAAGTTAAAAAGAAAAAGAAAATATCATACATTCAATCTCTGAAGAAGAAGAACACAACATAAACCCTAAATTAATAAACCCTAAATCCTAACAATACATAAATCTATTGGGGATACAAATTTCTATTTTCGGATTTTTTTTGTGGAAATAATTTGTTCTTTTAGAAATTACACAAATTAGGAAAATAATTGTTTTTCTTTCTAAAAAAAAATTGCTAAGTAAAGAAAAAAAAAACTTCTTTTTTATCCTGTTTTTTTCTTTCCTCATAAAAAACACGTTTTTAACGGGTTTATTAAAAAACACGTTTGATTCTATCGTTTATCGGCTTTGTTTCTCTCTCTAGCAATAACTCTATTGAGCCAAAAATGCATTTTTCTTTCCTTTTTTTTGCATTTTCTATTTCAAAAGAGAAAGATCTGTTTTTTTTTATTTTTTACTCCCTAAGGGTTGGCCCATTTTTTTTGAACGAGGCAAAAAAAATAAATAAATAAATAAATAAAAGAAGAGACAAGACGTTTTTTTTTTTTTGACACATATGGCAGTTATTTGGACAATTAAGCAAAGATCATGCATCCAAAAATCCTGTAACTGGCCAATGGTAAGTTTTTTTTTAATTTTCTCTTATTTTGGCTGCTCTGATGCACTATAAAAGAATGGGTTAACCCTTCAACGAAAATCAGTCTTTTCATTTTCCACCTTTTTGAGATACTGTGTATTCTCCTCTCGTGCCCATATATCTGATTTTTATTGTTGTTTATTACCTTGAGATAATAGAGTCATCTTCTCTGGTGTTATCATATGTGAATATTTTTATTTTACTGCAGTTTAATCCAGATCACATTTTTTCCAAATCTAGTGAGAGAAAAAATTCTTCTTGAACACTATATATTGCTGTTTTTTAGCAATTTGGGTATTTTTTCTGATGATCCGAGTTTGGAAGAATTATTGATTGAGTTGGATTCACATCAAGGCTTATTCAATTCACCGGTTGTTGCATGTTTTTTCTTGAGCTCTATTCTTGATAGTCTGTACTATCGCCCGGTGAGATCGCATCTATAAATTAGATTTATTTTATTTTCTTGGTTTGTATTTGTTATCATTCATGGATCTTAAATTGGAATTGAAGATAGAAAGACTCAACGGGCCGAATTATAATACGTGGAAAAGAAGATTAGCTTTGATTTTAGAGCATAAAAAATTAGATCACATAATTTCAACTGTAGTTCCTACTGAACCTACTGATGTTAGTAATAAAGCAAAAAGATCAGCTTATGCTAATCGGGAAAAAGAAAATAAGGGGTGTAGAAACATAATTTTGAGAAATATGGATGATAACTTATTATTGAGTTTTGATGAATTTAAAATACCAAAGATATTTATGATGAATTGGTGATACAATTTGGGGTAACTTCTTTGAGTAATTTAAGAGTATTGACTCAAGAGTACTATTCTTTTAAGATGAAAGAGAATGACTCTGCTGTTGAACATGTTAGGAAAATGATTTTGTTGGGCAAACAACTTATGAGTGCTGGTTATGCTTTGAATGATCAACAACGAGTTTTAACCATATTGAATAGTTTGTCTAATTCTTGAGAATCTGCTGTGACTACTTTGTCTTTAAACCGTAAGGATCTTACGCTTCAAAATCTTGCTGTTGAATTGAAATCTGAAGGAGATCGTAGATATTTAAGGAGGGCTGATGCACTTCGCATTGTTCAATTTCAAAACCCTTGAAATGGAGAATCCTCTACCAAAATAAAACCATACCAACCTTGGACCAATAATAAAAAGCAGAATGTTGAAAATAAAAACAAGAAGCCTATGCACAATGGACCCAAGGGGGCATGTTTCATTTGTGGGAAGATGAGACATTTTAAATCTCAATGCCCAAACAAGGGGGCACCCAAGATACCCAACCAAAGTCGTGACTACTTGTGTATAGTCGTTGACTGTTTAATAGCTAATGTGTCTATTGATGATTGATGGGTAGACTCTAGGGCCACTAAATATATATCCAGGTCTAGATAGGGCTTTGTGGAATTTAAAGAGCATGAAGTGGGGGAACATGTCATTTCTATGGGCAATGATTCTAAGTCTAATGTATTGGGTATTGATATTTACAGGTTAGCCATCCCTAAGGGGAACTTCTTGCTCCTTTTTTATACTCTTTATATCATTCCATGCGTTGTAACTTACTGTCTGTTAGGAGGCTTGATGTTAAGAGATATGAAGTTCGTTTCAAGGATAGGAAAGTTTCAATTGGGATTAATAGGAAAATCATTGTATGGGAAAAAGTAGTTCGAGGGGATATGTATTTACTTGATAAAATGCATGAAATTTCATGTTCTTCTGCTTACTTGAATGTGTGTGATGATGAAACTTCTTTTTTGTGGCATATGCGTTTGGGTTATATTAGTAGAAATAAAATTTCTAGACTTGTTCATGATAGCTTGATTCCTAAAATGACGAATTTAGATTTTAAAAATTGTGAACCATGTTTATTTGGTAAAAGGAGTAGAAAACCCTTTGATAAGGCAACTAGATCGTATGATTTATTGTCTATTATTCATTCTGATATTTGTGGGCCACTTAATGTAAAAACACATAGGGGTATGGAGTATTTTATTTCATTCATTGATGATTATTTGATATTTGATTATATTTATCTAATTAGCAGAAAATCTGATGCGCTTGAAATGTTCAAAGAATTTAAATTAGAAGTTGAAAACCAATTAGATAAAAGAATTAAAATCCTTAGAACGGACTGAGGAGGGGATATTGTTCTAATTTGTTTGATAATTTTTGTAAAGAAAATGGGATAATACATCATAAGACCATGCTTCACACCCCCCAACAAAGTGGTGTTGCTGAAAGGCTTAACCGAACTCTTATGGAAATAGTGCGATCGATGATGAATCATGCTAACTTGTCCTAAATTTTTTAGGGTGAAGCATTGCATATTGCTATGTATAATTTAAATCGAGTTCCATCAAAATCCGAATAAAAAATACCTTATGAGTTATGGACTGGATGTAAATCTCGATTGGAATATTTAAAAATTTGGGGTTGTGATGCTCTTGTACATATCCTAAGCCATGAAAGATTTAAGTTGCCGGCTAAGACTAGAAAATGCTCATTCATAGGGTACTCTGATACTTCTAAGGGTTATAGGTTTTATGACTATGAGATCAAATCTTTGGTTGAATCTAGAGATCACATTTTTTTGAAAAACATATGAAAATAGGCAAACTCTCTCTTATAGATATACATGAATTAGACAATAACAAATGAGTAAATGATGAACATTATGAATCTAATGTAGAAAATCTTGATAACTACATAAATAGTGGGAGTGATACATTTGAACTTATTAATGTAAATGACAGTGAACATAGGAGAAGTTCTAGGAACAGAAGAGCACCATATCATTTAGAACCATATCAAAGTTTTGTTTGTATGGACACTTTTGACCAATACTATAATTTTGCTTGTTAAGATATTCCTGAACCTTCCAATTATAAATAAGTTATTAATTATGATGAATCTGAATTTTAGAATAATGCTATGAATGAAGAAATGGATGCTATAACTAAAAACTATGTATAGGAGTTGGTAGATTTGCCTAGTGGGAGAAAACCATTGGTCGCAAATGGATATTAAAAAAGAAACTCAAGGTTGATGGTAGTATAAATAAATATAAAGCACGACTTTTTGCTAAAGGGTATAACCAAAAGGAAGGTATAGATTTTGTTGTTACTTTTTCTCCAGTAGTAAGATTTCATTCTGTTAGAATTTTGATGTCTATTGTGGCCAACCTTGATTTAGAATTATTTCAAATGGATGTTAAAACTGCATCTCTCAATGGAAATTTAAATGAAGAGATATACATGTTACAACCTGAAGGATATATTGTTAAAGGTTAAGAAAATAAAGTGTGTAAACTAATTAAATCACTATATGGATTGAAACAATCTTCTAGACAATGGTATTTAAAATTTCATAATGCAATTATGAAACTTGGCTTTGTTTCTAATGAAAGTGATTATTGTATTTATATTAAGACTAGTGGGAGTAAGATAGTGATATTGTCTTTATATGTAGATGATATTTTGATTGCTGGAAATGACATAGATATGATTAATGAAACAAAATCATGGTTGAAATATAATTTTGAAATGAAAGATATGGGGGTTGCATCATATGTTTTAGGAATTGAAATTACAAGAGATAGATCAAAAGGATGCTCAGCTTATCTCAAGAGCATTATTTAGATATGTTCTTAAAAACTTTATAATGGATTTATGCAAGCCGGTCTCCATCCTTGTTGATGAAGCAGTTAAATTATCCACATATTTATGTCCTACTAATGATAATGATGATATGAGAAACATTCCATATGCTCAAGCAATTGGGTGTATTAATTATGTTATGTCATGCACTAAGCCAGATCTATGTTTTATTGTTGGACTTGTTAGCAGGTATTAAAGAAACCCCAGAATGATGCATTAGCAAGCAGTAAAATGGATATTAAAATATATCTAAGGAACAAAGAAATACAAGTTGTACTATCAAGGTTCTTCCCTTAGGCCTCATGGTTACTTTGATGCAGATTCGAGTGGTGACTATGATGATAGTAAATCTACTTCGCGTTTCATTTTCACACTTGGTGAATGTGCTATATCATGGTGCAATAAAAAACAAGATTGTGTTGTTTTATCAACCATGGAAGCAGAATATGTGGCTTGCAGTTTAGCATCACAAGAGGCTGTTCGGTTGAGAAATTTCCTTATGGATTTACAGTTAGAATGCATTGAAAATGAGCTTATAAATATGTTTTGTGATAATCAAGCAGCCATTGTCGTTCTCAAGGATTCAAAAATAAACTCTAAATCCAAGCACATTCGCAGGAGATACCATCATATTTGAGATGCAGTAGAATATAGAGATATAACAGTTGATTACATTCCTTCAAATGAGATGATTGCATATCCACTAACTAAGGATTTGAGTCGGGAAATTTTCGAGAAACATGTGGCAGCTATGAGACTAAGATAAGTCTAAATGGAAATCCAATAATGGTTCATAAAATCATATTGGTGGGTATATAAAAATCGCATGTAAAAAACATGAGGCAATATCATATACAAGATGTTAAAGAGCCTTTATGCTGAGTATATGGAAATCCTATATAGAAAGCATGAGGCAATACCATGTACAAGAGTTAAAGGGCCTTCAGGCCAAGTGGGAGATATTGGAAATATGGCCTATCAGGCTCTTTTATCCCGAGAATTTATCTTTCAATAATGATACAAAAGCCATATTGAATAGTATATGTGAAATCCCATGTGGTTGGCATGAGACAATGCCATATATTAGGGATCCATTTGGAGCTTTTACAAGATATTGCATTGCAGGGAAAACTTAGTGTCACTGGAAGGAAAACCCAGTGATGTGTTTGGACTCATTCTAAGAATTTTTTTATATTCTAGATATACAAAAGTATTTAATTTTTAAATATCTTTTTTTATCAAGTTTATCTCATTGCATATGATTAACAGTTAGGTGACAACTTGTTAATCCTAATTGGCTGCACTTAAAGAAATTAAAGCAAGAGTTATACTTGGATCTCAACTCCTATAGACCATGAATGTGAGAGATACAAATTTGGTTCTCTATAAAAAGAGGTTAACCCCTCAAGTAAAAGTGACCAAAAAAAGGATGGAAAATTGGTGAAGGAGATTCACCAAATGGACTCTCAAGGTAGCCTATCATCGGATGGCTTGGTCTATAGGTTTTGGTATGGAACCTTAAGTCCCTCGTATGATTTAAAGACAGATCCGAATAAGTTGTTTATTTATTTATTTATTTTTAATTATTGGGACTAACAGAATTGAGGACATCTTTCGCTCAAATTTATTGCCAAATGATCATAGTTGATTGCTACACATTTTTATGGCCAAAATTTATGCTGAAATTGTATAAAAACGGCGTGATTTGATGGGTTTTGATAGTGAATGAAGAAAGAAACACAATTTTATGGCAAAAATTTAGGTTGAAATTGTATAATAACGGTGTGATTTGATGGGTTTTGATAGGGAATGAAGAAAGAAGGCCCCTCAAGGAAAAATCATTAAAAATTTCAAGGTTTAAGTGCCATTTTTTATCATTTTCACACCTAACTCGAATATACTTTTAATAATCCACCCCATTTGAGGCACACTTTTAATTTTCCATCCACCAAATTTTAGTATTCCACACTTCTTTTCTCATGTCGGTAAAAGCCCTCAACCTCAGTTTTTGCAAGAGTAGGAAAATTTAGAGAACGAAACCCTTGCTTGAGAAAGATAAAATTTGAACTTTCCAATTATCCATGCTTTCGACCTATATCTCCAAACTACCCTTCAACTTTATCAAAATCTCCAAAATCCTTAAAAATTAAAAAATCCCTAAAAGATTTTTTTAGGAATCAAAATACCCAAAATACCTTTAGGAATTCCTAATTCCAAGCACTAAAAACTTCCAAAACCCAACATAAACTCTGACTACCCAATTCCGAACCGAAGAGTTCATGAGCTCATCATCGGGAATTCGGGTGGTACAAGGCCCTCTCGTGAGCGGTCGACTTTTTCAGTCCTTTGAAGTTCTGCCTAATTCTAGACTGATAGCATGATCAAGTCTCAGCGAGAGGGCTTCCCAGTGCCAAACATCGGTGGTGTCATTCACTCCCCCGTCCTTGTATTTGCTTTTTTATAAGTAATTGTTAGCCTCTTATTGCAGGTTTTATTCGGGCTTTTGAGTCATACAACGCGCACTCACGAGTACAATTTAAAGCGACACATAGTGGACATCTGGATACCTGGAAAAAGATAGTTTTTCAATGAGGTTGCACAGCCTTTTAGATCCAAAATCTTGGTTGCAAAGTTTTTCGCAAGAAATTGTAATACAGGTAAGAGTGTTTTTCTCCCAAGAAGCTCTAAAACTAATTTCCCTATTAGATTTCATTCTGGAAATGAAAAAAGAGAGAAAAACAATGCCATCTCTCTCACTATGACAACTCTCTCTCCATCACTCTCTCTCTCTCTCTCCTGCCCATCTCTACTTCTCATCCTCGTAAATTCTTATATATTTGTTTCTTGTTTCTCTATGTCTCTTCCCGTTTATAGAAATCTCTTTCTACTTCCATCTTGCATTAACCATTTCCCTCCCTATATATTCCTTCTAAACCCTATTCTAGGTGAAATGTATCTAGTTGAGAATGGGGTTGGGGTTGGGGTTGGGGTCGTGGTGGTAGTACCATTTGTGCTCCAGCTAAGATCTAGACTTCTCATTCTTACTTAACGCATTAAAAAACCAATTCTGATTTCAAAAACGGGTAGAGGCTTGTCATCCCAACTGAATTACCAAAAAAATAAAAAGCGAAAAGAAATAGTTGCATCAAGATACTATCAAAACAACAAAAATCTATTTACAATAAATATTTTTTGTAATAGAAATGTATTTCTCATCAAATAATTTTTCCATGCAAATTTTGTCATGGATTCAGTGGAGGCCGTAATCTATTTTATCTCGAGTCACCCTTCACCTTCCGATTTACAAATGGTGCTCAATATCACAAGATATGCGTGTTTATGGTTGGACTCTTTGCTCCAAAGGAAGTCCCTTTGGAGCATCTCTAAAGTGTTATTATGGTGGGGGGATTTGGGTACTAGTGATTTCGGATTAGGGTAATGCACGATGTGAGCAAGATGACTCTTAACTCTTAGGTGGTTGCAAAAATTTTAAAAAATGTATGTTCATTTTTGTGAATTAACATACATTTTGGCATAATTGCTTCTTTTCAATACCAAAAATGAAAAGATCATCAGCATAGGGAAGATAGGAGGGGGTTGTTTCAGCTCTAGGGATCCTAGGTGATTAGAATCTTTCACTCTATTTCTTTTGTGATGACTTTACTAAAACATTTTATCGCTATATTAAAGAGGCTCGGATATAAATGATCCCCCCCTGATTAACCTAATTTTTCCCCATCAAAGGAGGTGTTATAGAGGAGAATGGAGTTATTTGGTGCTGTGAGACACAAATAATGATTGTATCTCCAAACCCTTATCTTTAAAGCTTGCATATTAAATTTGCAATATAGTATGTCAAATGCCTTTTCGAGGTCTAGTTTTAGTAAAATTGTTTCATGTGTGCTGGACTGCATTTCTACATATGCGTTCCAGAAAATGTAAAGCAACCATCTTAAAGATGGATACAAGTAGGTGTTCCATTTAAAAACAATGGAAAATAGCGGTTCAAATGTTTTGTTACTAGAATTATTATTTCTAATTTTTAAAATTTATTTATTTTTTCATATTCATGACCTCTATATTAGAGATTACATGTCCTTAAAAATTAAGTCTTAAAATCTATCTCAAAAATAGATTTTATTAAGAGGCACGTATTTCTGCATATGCGGGCTTGGCTGCATAGAAACCGGGTCCCTAGTTTTAAACAAAATATGCATGCCTTTTATTGTTATTGCCCTACTATGGTCAAATTCAAGTGCAACTAAAGCTTGCCTGTAAGTCTTTTGGTTTTATAGAAGAGCATCTTGTTAGGGCTAGTGATGAGATTTGATATTGCTTTAATTTTTATATTCAAAGCCTTATAGGTCTTAACAGGGAAAGAACACATGTTTTCTTTGGGATTAGAGTGGTAAAGGTAGAGTTTAAGGATTGCATTATTGATTGTTTACATGATGTGCTTTTTTAGGTCTTGAGTGATTTGTAAACCCATTATATTCCAATAGTTTTTGAAAAAAATGGGTCGAAAAACATTTTCTCCATTTCAAGAGAAAACATTTGGCCTGCCCAAGGTGGATCTGAAAAATACTTTCCCTCCCCCAGTTTGGGGCCCTAGGGGTGTTTTTCACCCAGATTTAGGGACATACTGATTTTGGTAACTAAAAGAAGATTTCGAAAAAAGTTAAAAATAAACAATGAAATGTTAGTTTCTTTATGGGGAAAGAAAATACAATGAACGATAAATGTTTTTTTTTCAGGAAGGAAAGTAGTGTTACATTGATGCCCTAAGGAGAACTTTTTGCCCTAATTTTTGTAGTTTGCGTCGTAACAAAAAAAAAAAGAAAAAAAAAAGCTAATCTTGAGTTCTTAAAGGGCTAGCTTAGACCAAACCGATGTTTGACCATAGACCAAGCTACCCGGGCCGGTCCAATAGAAAGTTCTTAGCCAGATCAATAGAAAACCAGTCAAAACTAGCACTTGGCAAGTCGAACTGGTTCGATCAACCTGTTTGTTGTTTCTCTTGAACCATTTGGTTTTGAGCATGTTCATCATTTATCGCTATATTTACTTTTCTTGCCAATTTTTATTTGTTTTTTCTTTCTTTTTGTGTTTTTTATTTTGATGCATCGGGTATTTTCATTGCCAAAAATCATACCCAAATATCTCAATATTTATACCCAAAAAGTCATTATCCTAAGTAAACTTTATCTTGCTTTCTTTTAAAACAAAATAAAAGTTTAAATGTGCTGAAAGATTTGGCACTGCATTCATCTTACTATTTTTTTATTGTATTTTGACCTTTATGTTTTAATTATTCTTTGTGTTCATTATTTATTTAAATTCTCAATGTCACTTAGAATCTAAACCTGTTTTGTTATGTGCAAATACTCTAAACTTGATGGGTTGATTTTTGACAAATAAAGTACGCAAAAAATAAAACAGGCAACAAACAAGAAAAATAAAGCAAAAAAAAATAATAGAAAAAAATCAGAATTTAAGTGTTTCATCACTTATCTGAGTACATCCATGGATGAAGATGATCGATATTTTTTCACTAAATCAATTAAAAAAAATTACA